CGACAAGATGCCGGTGGAGCCCTTGGTTAAGTGAGGAGACATGGATTCTGAAAAGCTTGAGATGTTTGTGAGGCAAAAACTGTTTAAGAGAGTTGAGATTGGGCGAGAGTCGTTTGTTTGAGGAGAATTGTAGCGGGGGTGATCAAATTATTTATAGGAGAAAGTGGGGCCCAGGGTTGCTTTCTGTTAGATGCATTGAGATGTTTTCGCTGGTGGGTGTACTGTGGGGACAAGTGTTATTTGGTGGTTAAATATGTGTGAAAAAAAAGGGCGCTTTGTAGAAAAGTAAATAAGGCGGGAGTGGACAGGTGGTTCGCTAGAGTTTTAAATTAGAGAAGGTTGTATATATACATATTCCACTATAAGCACCAAAATTCAGTATAAATACTTAAAATGTGGTAGGAACAGAAAATTTTATATATATATATATATATATATATATAGAGCAAAACTTCTTCTCGCTCTTCCTACATGTTTTTCTATATATAAGTTTTGGCAAAATGGTCAAATTGGTATATTTTGTAGACACCATGTGACACACTGGTATATTTTTTGGTTTTGGACAAAATTGTAATATTATATAGACTCCGGCGTCATATACCCCTCAAGTTTGGCCGGATCCATTTTTCCGGCCAGTTTTCTCACGTGACGGCTCACGTGTTAGCGGGATTTATTGCACAAAACCCCCTCATAAAACGCCCTCCACTATAAAACAACCTCCTTTCTCCTTCCTCCTCTTTTACTCATCGGTTCCAATCACTAACCCCCCTCGATCTCGGCCCCAGTCTCTATCCAAAAAAATGGCAGCAGGTAAATTACCCTCACCGGGGCCTCGTCGGACCCGCCATCTACCGCCGCCTCAAAACCCTAGGCTTCACCGGGGCCTCGATAACTTCCACCCCGAATATTCACATGTGTTACCTGCTTTGATTCGAAGATTTCATGAAAAAACCCTAGCATCAAGGTCGGAAAATGGGGGGACAGAAGGCCAAGATGGCTTGCGAGAGGAACCTCGAGAAGCAGAAGGCTAGAGCTAAAGGTCCATCTCAATCCATACAAAAAAAACTCATCGGTTTTGGTCTTAATTTGATCCAGCCTGATTTGTTGTTTGCATAGGGAGCCAACTCGAAGCGAACAAGAAGGCGATGTTGATTCAAGTCTTGCTCCGATCCCTTCCTCTTTTCTCAAGTTTTTCTTTGCCTGCGATATCGGATTCTGGGCGGATCTTGTTAGATCTGTTGTTTCTGGCGAGGGAATTGATGGGTTTTGTGGAGAATTTGTGTTGGTTGGATTGGGTTGATTTTCTCAAATTTTGATCTCTCTTGGCGTGCCTCTGTTGTCGCGGTTCTGTTTTAGAGAAAGATCAATCCTTTGGTGCTTTTACCTTTAGTTTTTTTCCTTCATTTTCATTTTTTCTTCTTCCTAATTTCCTTTGGGGGTGACTGAGAACCAAAAGAAGAAAATTATGAGAGGATTGACTGAAGAGCTTTGACGTTGATTTAGGAGCAATAGGGAACAAAGGTTGGGTGTGGTTGAACCCATCTTGGCCTTCTGTTTGTTACTTGCTTTGGTTCGCCGTTGAGGGAGTTGGTTTGGGACTATTAAGGAGCTTGCAGAGATGGTGAAGGAAGTGGTTGGGTTTGAAGGGGAGTTGGTTTGGGACTCGTCGAAGCCTGATTGGACACTGAGGAAGCTCATGGATAGCTCGAAGCTGGCTGAGATGGGGTGGAGTGCAAAGATCAGGTTGAGAGAGGGGTTGGAGGAGACTTACAGGTGGTATTTGGAGAATGTCATCAAGCAGCAGAGAGGGGGGTTGAGAGAGGGGTTGGAGGAGACTTACAGGTGGTATTTGGAGAATGTCATCAAGCAGCAGAGAGGGGTTGGAGGAGGTATTGTGCAATAAATTGAGATTGGGGTTAGATTGAGGGGGTTTTGTGCAATAAATCTCGCTAACACGTGAGCCATCACGTGAGAAAACTGGCCGGAAAATTCAATCCGGCCAAACTTGAGGGGTATATAGCGTCGGAGTCTATATAATATATCATTTTGTCTAAAGCAAAAAAATTATACCAGTCTATCACCTAGTGTCTACAAAATATACTAATTTGGCCATTTTGCTTCTAAGTTTTTTTCTCACTATTTTTAGTGAAGAAGTGATGACTACACTATTTTATTAAATACTTAAAATGTAGAAGGAACAGAAAATTAAATATATATTAGTTTTCCTCGCTCTTTTAACTTCCTAATAAATGATTTTCTACATAGAAGTTGTTTGCTCACTATTTTTGGAGGAGCAGTGATAACTACACTATTTTATAAACTATTTTACGCTATAACATAGAAAAACGTGGGGTCTTAGATAAGAGTGCTGCTATAGGGACCCGAAATAGGGGAGGCGACACATCACCTGCTCCACTCAGGGTCCTCTATTTTGGGATCCCTTTCTTTAGACAATTTTATAGAACAGTTATCATTATTCTTCTCTAGAGTACAAATCCCCTAAAAACGTGGTGATCTCTTTACATGTATACGGTGTTTTGGATGAATATTTGCCATTCAAAAGTGACTACAACATACGGTTGAAACTCAAGTATTCAACTACTCGATCCGACTAGTTAAGGTGATCATACAAAATCTGGTTTGCATGCACATAATGTTTTCAAAAAGATAGGGATACATAATTACATACTGTGTTGTATTATATATCTCTATAGGATTTTGTTTTAATTTTATTTTGGGCGGCGCCCCTTCTAAAACTTGTACGGGGTTTGGTGAGGTTGGATAAGCTATTATAAGACAGTGGGTGGTCGTTAGGTGTCAATAGGGGTAAAGAAGGAGAGTTGAGAGGGTCACCGCCCTCTCTTGAGGGCTTGAATATTCAGGAGGATCCTAAGGCTAAAACATGGGCGACCGAAAGTGATGGGAATTTTAGTATTAAAAAAGAGAAATTTGGAAAAGAAAAGGGAAAAGGTGTAAAAGGAGTATTAGAAGTTGAATGGAGGTGGACCAAGTAGGGGATCGTTCTAGAGATTTGATAGAAGACAATAGAAGTTTCTCATTCTAATTAATTAACATCACTTTGACTTTTTGTGTGGATATGAACCGATGATGAGAAGAACTGAGCTTATGTTGGATTTGTCAGTCAGAAGACCAACAGTGAGGCTTGGTTTGTCCTCAACTATATAGCCAGCTGGTATGAAGCGGGTTGGTGTAGTACTTGTGACCTATAACTGCATGGCAAAAATATGGCACCCTAGTTTAGTCGCTAGGTTTCTTTATGCGCATTTTGTGATCAAGTTCCATCATGAAAACTCGGAGAAATTTAAACGGTTAAACCTAATCCAAGTAAAGAATATTCTTTGATCGGTAGAAATTGAGTCAAAAATAATCTAGGACAATTATTTTAAGAAAAATACCTTAGGGATCCAAAAGCATGAGACAGATGAGGTGTTGGACTTACTACTGAACTTAAGTAAATGCAACAGTGCAAATTAGTTCGATGTGCATCCACTTCACCTCGGATTTGAAATGTTCCACGTGATAACTTGAGCGCAAGTAAGTTCTAGTTCCTCAATGTAAATAAAACAAAGAATCCCACCCAGAATAAATCCATTTGCTGCTTTAGCAATACGTGGCTCCTTAGATTTTTTATCCATTGGGAATCTCTCAAGCGTCCTCTTGATCTTCTCCAAAGTAGTACAATTGCTATTCTCTCCTCAATTTACACCGCAGAAACCTAATCTTCTGGCACCCTATAGATTTTTTTAACAAGGAATCGAACGTACCACATCCAAAAGTTAAAGAGTGCACCTAACTGAATGTAGAATTAATTAATATTCTAGCCCAAAAGTTAAGAGTGTACCTAGTTGAATGTAGAATTAATTAATATTCTAGATGACACGAGAAGCTTCTCTGTGTAGAATTGGGAACAACGGCAAAGAAGTTCAGGTAAAAAGTCGAAGGATAGTTTTTGGATGCTGCATGATCGACTGCGAGTGACGCGGCGGTCGACCGCAAACGTGCATAGCACAGGGGTTGGTCTCTGGACTTTTGGCGGTCGATCGTGTCGATTACCGCAGCGGTCGACCGCAAACATGCATAGCACAGGAGTTGGTCTCTGGATTTTTGGCGGTCGATCGCGTCGACTAGCGCGGCGGTCGACCACGAGACCATGTAAGTGTTTTTTTAGGTTCTGTCATTGGCCATGGTCGACCGCGACTGGTGCGCGGTCGATCGCGGATCGGGTTTAGACCTTGGTTTGGTTTCCTATTCTGTTTGGGATTTGTGTTTGGTATAAATACCAACACACGTTTTAGGGTTTCTTTGACTTCGATTGAGAATTATTTTGGGGATATTGGAGCATAGAAAAGAGAGATCTTTCTGAACTATTGGTAGGTCTGTCCATCCGGGCCGGGCCGGGCAAAACCGGAGCCCGGACCCGGGTACCCCGGGCCGGGTTCCGGGCCGGCCCGGTTTCTTTTCTTTTTTTTTATTTAAAATTTAAATTATACAAAAAAAGACAAGAAAAATTAATAATTTAATTAATCACTTAAAATGACATAAATTACAAATAAAAATGATAAAAATAAATTCTTTATTAATAATTAATAAATCATTTACAAATTACAAGTACAAATTTATTTTGGAATTCATCGCATCACAATAGATAAGTACATCCCAACTAGGTTGGCATCTACTCACCTATATCACTATCATTTGTAACTATTTTCAAAATAATTCTTTACAAATTTTAAGCTAAGATATAAAAATTACAATTTGATTAATATTATTTATTCTTTATATCTATCTGCTAGTCCAAATTC